CACTCGTGTGATTGATGGCTTTAGTTCGTAGTTTTGTTTTTGGACCGCTCCTACTGTTTTCTCGTTTATCGCTTGTATTGGAATGGGGTTTTCACGTATGATGGAGATTACAGAGTTTCGATATTCTTAAGCACTGGGGTATCCTTGTAGTGGTTCAGGGTGATTCTCACAGGGTTGGATGGTACGAGAGACCCGGCGAAGAGCAAACTAGAGTTGTATCCATTGGGTGCGTGGTGGAAAACCCGTCTAGGCATCAAAGGCTCTTTACAGCGTTTTAGATACTGAGGTTGAGAGGGTAACCCTAACGTCTACCCCCCCTCCCAACTCTTAGTTATAGAGATTGCTCTTTCAGTTTGATATTTTGTAGATCTTCGGAATTTGGTGTGTTGAAAGGCCCTGAAGCCCTAAGAGTGGCGGTGCCATCAATTCACAGATTCTCGATACTCCTAAGCGCTGGGGTAAATTTGCAGTAGCTTAGGGTAATACTCACAGGGTAGGGATGATATGAGAGACCGGGTGAAGAGCAAACTAGAGTTGTATCCATTGGGTGCGTGGTGGGAAACCCGTCTAGGCAACAAAGGCTCTTTACAGCGTTTTGGATAGTGAGGTTGAGAGGGTAACCCTAAGTCCATTCCCCTTCCCAGCTCTTAGTTATTGAGATTGATCTTTTAGTTTGATATTTTCTTATTTCCGGAATTTGGATTGTTGAAATGCCCTGAAGCCTTAAGGGTGGCGGCGCCAACAGCGGGAGTGGGAGACTCACTAGTGGCGGTGGGAACGTTTCCGGGTGCGATGGGTAAAATTATTACCAGCCATAACTTCATTCTAGATGGGCTGTGTGTGCTCTCGTCTATTGTCCGCTTTGGTGTTGAATGTTCACGAATGATTGAGATTCACATCTCGATACTCTTAAGCGGCTGGGATACGTTTGCAATAGTTTGGGGCGATACTCACAGGGTAGGGATGACATGAGAGACCCGGTGAAGAGCAAACTAGAGTTGTATCCATTGGGTGCGTGGTGGGAAACCCGCCTAGGCAACAAAGGCTCTTTACAGCGTTATGGATAGAGAGGTTGAGAGGGTAACCCTAATGTCTGTTCTCCCTCCCAGCTTTTAGTTATCGAGACTCCTTTTTCCTAGTTTGATAAATCTCGAAATTTGGTTTGGCTGTTTTTTAATCGTTTATTTCCCGGAGACAATATTAGTACACCTAGTTTAAATCTAGTTCATAGTTGGTTTGAAACTTGGAATTGAATTGTACCTATGAGCTTAGTTTGCCTTGGAATTTTTTTTTTTTTTTTTTTTTTTTTCCGTAAAAGCTGGACCACGTGTCATCGTTTGGAATGAAGAGCAGGCACAAGAGATAACACTCGAAACTTTGTACTTGTTGCTACGGGAACATTGCTGGCGGAACGAACACAACGGAACCAAACACCGCGGGAACGTATGCCTTCGCTCCCTCGGGCAAATCAAAATTTGCTTCCACACAAAGCAGCAGAGAGCTCCCTTCCCCTCATTAACTCCGCCGCACGAGCACCATCCTACTTGGAAACTGCTCAGACAACAATTCATCGCGATGACAAAAAAATCCTCGATCGAAGGCCCACCAGAGAAAAAACGCACATGTACGGAAAAGCAGTGCGAGGAAGTAGTCTGTCTACAAACGACAGCCACGATGACCACCCTTTCTTCTCGTGCTGTCCGTGGGAATGGGCGTCACGTCCTCGATCCTTCCAATCTTCATCCCCGATCGCGCCAACGCCCGCAGAGCGGACTGAGCACCAGGGCCAGGGGTCTTCGTCTTGTTACCGCCCGTGGCACGAAGCTTGATATGCAGCGCAGTGATACCGAGCTCCTTGCACCTCTGTGCAACGTCTTGTGCTGCAAGCATAGCCGCATAGGGAGATGCTTCATCACGATCCGCCTTCACTTTCATCCCACCTGTAACACGGGCGATCGTTTCCTTCCCTGACAGATCCATTACGTGCACGAACGTATCAAGGACGCGAAAATGTGGGCAACACCTAACACGTGCTCTTCACGGACAGTTGGACCGTAGTGGACCGCCTCCTCCTTCACTTCCCTGATCTTCTTCCTGCCCGACATTTTGGCGGCGAACGCGCGACCCGGAACTCCTGAAGCTTCAGACGCTACCGGTTGTGAACTCCACCCCGAGAGCGAAAGCAAAATGTCGGCGAACGCGCGACCCGGAACTCCTGAAGCTTCAGACGCTACCGGTTGTGAACTCCACCCCGAGAGCAAAAGCACCCGAGAGCGAAAGCAAAATGTCGGCGAACGCGCGACCCGGAACTCATTAAGCTTCAGACGCTACCGGTTGTGAACTCCACCCCGAGAGCGAAAGCACGGCGCACCGCCTACACGTAAGAATGCGGATCAAAGGCTTGGAAATAATTTTAGGTTTTAAACTGTAAATTTTTCAGGAATTGCCTTGTGCATTTTCGAGATTTGCAGATTATAATTCGTAGTACTTCGCCAATAGTGTTTCTATCTTAGAAACATGCCCGCGTTCTCCTGCGCAGCAAGGATATTATATTATAGGCTGAAGGAATGGAGAGTTTTGTCATGATTAGTTCAGCCACCTTTTCTGTGCTTCAAGGCTATTTTGAGGAGTTTTTCTTCCTTTTGAGGCTGAGTGGTCTTGGGAGGCTGGACCCAGTTTCCAGCAGGTTTTTTCCTTGGTAACACCGGGTAGTTCTGATTTGAAATATAAAGTGACAACTTCTCAAAAAAAAAAAACGTTGGGATTAGGGCGAGATCCCACTGGGGAAGAGATTGGCTTGAGAATCTGAATCTGGACGCGTTTGTGGCAGATCCTTGCAATTGCTCTGCTTTTCTGCATCTGGACATAAAACGCATCCAGATTCAGGTGCTTCGTCCAATTTTCTTGGCTGGTGGTATCTCGCCCTTAGTCCCTCGGGACATCCGTTAAAAGTGGAACGAGACAGAGAGAAAGAAGATTAGCATGGCCCCTGCGGAAGGATTACACGCATAAATCGAGAAACGGTCCAAATTCAAACAAAAAAAAAAAAAGAAAACAAAAAAAGCGTTGGGCCACTCCAAATCTCGACGTGTGTATGAAGATGTGCATTTGAGCGCGTTGAATTTCCTCAACGCCCCAAATGTGGACGTGTTCGCGTAGCTGTGCAGTTAAAAAGCCCAGCGCCATTTTCTGCACATCTCCATAAACACGTCCAGATTCGGGCGTTAATTACCTAGAGGATGGTACTGACACTTGACCTCGACGAACTCGTTTTTCGATGTCATTCTTTTTTTACTTCTTTTTTTTTTTTTTTTTTTTTTTTTGTCGATGTCATTCTTTTTTTTTTTTTTTTATAACACCTTGGTACTCGTTATGCAATTGAAACTTTGGGGCCGGCCACCCCACATAAAGGCCGGATAGGGAGCATTACCCCAGTTCGCTTGAGTTGCCTATCTTATCCTCTTCATGAAAGGGAAAGGAGAGATTAAGACAAGGAGAGAAAGGTGGTACCCTAAGAGCTTCTTCTAGATGAATTGAGGACGCGATAGGAAAGATGAAAAGAATGAAAGGGAGGAATAGGAGAAGGAAGGAAAAGACGAAGAGTTGCTGTGTTGAAAAACTACAAACCTCTACCAATCTACAGAATTCAGCCTTCTGATCGATTTACACAGGCATAAAATGGCCTGAAGCCAGCCTAAGTCGGTTGGGGGACCTCTAGGTCCTTAGTAACATAGCACTCTCCACATCCCTCCTACCCTATTGGCCTACTGCGACCGTGACATAACCGAGTGCATCTGGTTTGAGAAAGGTTCAGGTGAGGGTAAAGGAGTGAAGAAGGAGAGACTGAGGTAGAAAAGGAGAGGGTTAGGGACTGGGGAGAAGGTTGCCGGAGGGTAGGTGTGACGAGATAGGGGTATAGGGTGAGAAAGAAGACAGGGGAGGGTCTATGAAGTGAGCCAAGGGGAGATGACCAGCTTCCCCTCTATTGTAACTGCAGCTAACTGGTTGTCTCTTGCCCACGTGACCAGGAACCAATGCCTGCCCCTCGGTGTGTTGCCTCTAGCACTTCTGGCCCAGTCCACAATGATCGTCGTTCTGATCAGATCCTTGATTCTTTTGAGAATCACAGCGTCAGTCGTCCACTGGCTCTCGAAGACGATACTGTTCCTGTCAGTCCATATCGTCCAAAGTATCGCCGAGCGAATTGCCTGCGCCACGTAGCCTCTCCCCTTGTCTCTGAACCAGTGGGAGGGCAGTTTTCCGAACATCGCCCATGCTTCATCCCAGACCAGAGCAGTGCCCACGAAGCGATCCCAGTATCTGGCCCACCATTGCCACATACGTCTGGATGCTGGGCATGACCAGACTAGGTGGCAGAGTGTTTCCTCTGCTCTTCGGCCACATCTGTGGCATTTGGTTTCCAAGTCCATTCCCTTCTCGTAGAGCCAGGCTGCGCAGGGTAAGATAGCTTGTGAAAGCATCCACAGTGGAGTGAGTTCGTAATCTTTTTTTTTCTTCTTTTTTTTGTCGATGTCTTTCTTTTGCCATATCATAGAGAACGAAGCGAAGGCCTCCGCTCCACTAATCCCCTCATGTGCAAAAGACAAAAAGAATTGGCGATGTATAATCCCATGTTCTAGGAGAAGGTTCATTCTCATTTCGCACATTAGCTGAGTAGTGGAAACGGCACCCAAAGTCTTGAAATGTCTGGTCGACCATGCGTTATCTCACCCGTCGCTACCGTCTTCACCCGTATAGAACGCCCGGTCATTATAGCTGCATTTGGGCCAACTTCCAGTCCAGATGCGGCGATAATGACCGGGCGTTCTATTCGGATGAAGACGGTACCAACTCGAGCTCCCATACATCATCCACCGCAAACCTACCTCCATTATCTTCTTCCTTGTTACCCTCCTACACTTGCCTCTCATCCGTGTTTTTTTTTTTTGTTTTTTTTTTTAAACCTATTTGACGGCTTCTTCTCCATGTAGGCAGGTGTATGAAACAACAATCCTCGAAAGGATGAAAAAGTAGCAAGAGGATGAGATAGAATACATCCAAAAACAAAGATTGAGAGAAGAACATAGATTACCTTAAAAGTACTCCCAGAGGCCCCCGCACAGTCTCACAGCACACCTACCTACGAGTAATCTTCTTCCTGGAATCCCCAAACCGTGACGTGCGACACGTTCCTCTTCTTCTTCTTCTTCTTCATCTTCTTTTTTTTTTTTTTTCCTTTTTTTTTGTGTCTTCCTCTAGATCCATGGGCGTGTCTGTACAAAAAATTATCGGAGTAGTGGAAACCCTCCCACCGCCCCCGCACACTCTCAGCTGGGTGCGCCGCTTTTTATTTTGCGAGCATCTTCATCCTCGATGTAACTGGTCAGCCACTACAGGACAGTTCATTCAAAATTATAAGAAAGAGATGAACTGATGGAAATTTTGTCATGACTCATGAGTGTCGTCCACGTCAAAGCCTTGATTGTAAGCACTTCTATTAAAAAACCAAACTCACAACAACAACAAAAAAAAAAAAAAAAAAACAAAAAAACAACTCACTCCCGGCGGAGGCAGCAAGGGATCCGCAATCTTCTTCCTGCTCGCTGATATGCCACTGGAGATACACACATCTCTGCACCTCCTGCTAACTGACGACGATGGCTCGAACCCAGAAGTTACCAAGAACGACCGGAAGTTACCAAGGACCGGAAGTTACCAACAACGACCCGAAGTTACCAACAACGACCGGAAGTTACCATGGACCGGAAGTTACCAACAACGACCGGAAGTTACCAACAACGACCGGAAGTTACCAAGGACCGAAAGTTACCAAGGACGGGAAGTTACCAAAGACGTCCTCCCGGACATACGTGGAAATTGAAACTGGAACGATACAGAGAAGGGTAATTAGCAAAATGGCCCCTGCGCTTTCAAGGATGACACGAATGAATACAGAAATGGTCCAAATTACAACAAAAAAAAAAAAAAAAAAAAGAAGAAGAAAAAAAGGTGGTTGTGTTGTTTACGAAGTATGACACTTTCATGAATTATTTATTTGATTTTAGTGATTAATACCAACGACGACGCTGCTCAACCCTCACGCCGAGTCCCGCGCCTACCGTCGTCATCCGAATAGAACACCAGGTCAATTTGTTCGAATAGAACACCAGGTCAGTTTGTTCGAATAGAACACCAGGTCAGTTTGTTCGAATAGGACCGTAAGTAGCCCTACATACCTGGCGCGCAATCCCGCGTGTGCCGTCTTCACCCGAATAAAACACCCGGTCATTATCGCTGCATCTGGACTGAAAGCTGCCCCAAATACAGGGTATACTGACCAGGCGTTCTGTTCGGGTGACGATGTTACCTAGCCTACCCTTTTCCTCCGAACACAACGCACCCTGATTTTCACTGTATCGGGCTGGAAACATACCTTGTATACGGTCGTAATTTTCAGGGTGTGTTATGTTCGGGGGAAGACGGTAGCGATGAAAATAGCGCCCCTCGCGCCAAATCCCGCGCCTACCGTCCTCCCCATCACAATAGAACGCCCAATCATTATCGCTGCCTGCATCTGGGCTGCTCACCCACATGCTCTCTCCTACCAGTGATTACCTCTTCCACTACCGATCCCGACCATTACCTCCATCTGTACTAATCACCCAGATGACCATTACCTCCATCTGGACTAATCACCCAGATGATGCTCTCTCCTGCCAGTGATTGATCGATCCCGGCCATTACTACGTAATAGACACTACGGACGGGACCTGATCTCCCAGATGCTCTCTGCTGCCAATGATTGGTCCCCGCCATTACCCCTCTGTGCAGTCCCGGCAGGCATCAAATCAGTACGCCACCTAGATAATCGGGACCGGGATGTGAGATCGGGATCAAAGAGAAGGCTGCCGAGAGAGAAGCAAGCAGAGGTAAGCCAGGCATCAGATCGGGATGTGAGATCGGGACCGAAGAGATGGCTGCCGCTAGAGAAGCAAGCAGAGGAAAGTCAGGCGTCAGATGAGAGGTCGACACCAGATCCCCGAGATGCTCTCTTCCCCCCAGTGATTGCTGCCCCCCCCTTCCATTCTCCCCCCCCCCCCCCCCGGCGGCCATTCCCGCCCTGTGCAGTCCCGGCAGGCATCGGTATACATACGTAGAGATAACCGGGACC